ACGATTGATACTGCGCCGCCTCTATTGAAAGTAAAAGTAGCTTTCAATTTTCCGATGGAACTGTAACTTTGTACTCCTTTTAACATTCGGAACACCTCGTCCCGATTACAATTCCTTTCATCACATAACAAATATGCTGAGGTGTTCCGAATGCTCATGTGAGATGTGTATGAACTTTTTTGGAGCAATAAAATACAATTAATTAACTATCATGAGTGTATTTATGAAGAATATATCACAAGGATGAAAAAAATGCTGCGTAAGAATGAACAAAAGATACTTAATACCACTTCCGTGTTCTTTCCGGGGTTTTTTTTGACATTTTTTTTATTTACCATAATACACTCGAGAAAATTAGTTAAATATACCAGTAATATACTTTATTCTAGGCAGTCCACCAAGCCTCTTGTTCGATATATCTCATAACCCATTGTCGATTCGTTTCCTAAGTATATGATGTTTACGTGGTAAGGCGCCGCTAACCATGGTCAGCGTAGATTGTTATGGTCAAGAGGTAATTGATGACGTTGTGTTGACCATTCCTGTTAGATAGTAGCCAACCTTATCGTAAGTTTGTTTAAAACATTTAAGATAGGACGCTAATTAGGACGGGGTTTGGGTCAGCATTGGGGGTATATTATCGACGGTCAGGCCATTTTGGTCATTTTGAGCGATTATTTTACCGAGTGTCTTTGGAATGACCACTGTGAATGTTCGATAGCTGTTTACCCTACACTGACAAATGACGCGAGCTGGTGATATGGTTAAAGAGTTATGTCACACCTGGAATCAATCAGAACAATACAGCATTGCGACTACCCGCAGCCATGGTGGCTGCTGAGGGATACTTTTCCTTTCCCGCAATTTCGCTTTGATCCGGCGACAAAGCAAAAAGGCGTTACATGTATTTTATTTTGCTAAACGACGCTTTTTCGTGTCAACAAATCACTTTTGTTAAATAAAATGGCGTTGTTTTCCTCACCCACGAAGCACGAAAAAGCGATAGAGTGCCGTTTAAGAAAATAAAACGGCGCTTTTTTCGCCGCGACAAAGCGAAAAGGCAAACATGATCCTAATGTGCCACCATACGCAGCAGAGTGGCGTTATTATCTTGTTTAGTAAAATTTGAAGCTTTCATTTGATATGATATTCGTAACAGTTACAGAAATAAAATAAGAAAGTAAAAGAGAGATAGGGTGAAATAAACCTCTTTGTAAGCCACAGTGTCGTTTGACCAACTAGAGAACGTACATTCGGCTCGACGTCCGACGCTCGTTCTATGTAATATAATATACTGTACAGCTTACATGTACTAATGCAAGTGCCATATACGCTGATGACTGCATATGTATAATGTACAGTACATTTAATAATTTAATATGTTTCAAACATAAATTTGCTATAGTTCATTGGAAATCCTTAATTCTTATACTTTCATTTATGTATACCACAGTACTTGATATGTCAAAACGAGAATTGTTTGCCTAATGACGTCATCAATGCATTGCCGACTAAAGAAACGTATGAACAACAAAGGTAAATTATACGTCTTTTCGTGATAATTTTAAATACAGTGGATGATGTCACTTTAAAATTTACAATGTTATAACAAAAATTTAAAAAAAAAAAAAGGAATTGTAAGCAAGCAAAATATTGGTTGTACATAAAGCATTACAAGAATGTCACGTAATGAAATAATATTTAGACAGACGTTGAAAAAATACTTAGGTGTTGAAGAGTATATCAAACAGGAGACAGACAGCCATCGGTCGAATACGTAACCGTACCGTGTCAGCCAGGATTGCACGCGTCCGTTAACAGGTAATGAGATATTCAGCCATCGCTATTAATCATGTAGATGATTAGTGTCGTATTGTTTTCGGTGTCCGTGGAAAATGATATTTACAGTTGAGTAAAGTGTGTTCGTGATTTAATCAATGCGGCAGACAACATCAGATACACCATGATATCAATTGTCATATTTGAATCAATGCAATAACAATATACTCACCGCTATATTTCACAAAACATGTGATATATACGCCGTTTTGATTAATCACTTTAATAAAACTACCTCATTTAATCACCGCTGTATTTACTACAGCTTAATTAATTGTCACGATATTCACCGTCTCACTCTTACACCGCGGTACTCACTAGTACATCCAACAACCGCGATATTCAACTAACTCACTCTAATACTGCGATTTAATCCCCGCGATATAATCTGACGTTTTAAATCACAGCGATATTAATTATCCTTGAATCACTGCGGCATCAATAGTTTCACTCATTAAACTCACGATATGCAATTATTTTATTCAATCACGGGGATATTCACTATCATGCAGTCACCGCGATTTCACTTTCATTCAATCAACAGAATATTCACTATCACTCAATCACGGGGATATTCACTATCATGCAGTCACCGCGATTTCACTATCATTCAATCACCGCGATATTCATTATCATGCAATCACCACGATAAGCACAATCATTCAATCACCGCGATATTCATTATCATTTCATTGGCCAGTCGATCGATTGGTTTAGGTTTTAAAGATGTTAATATGAGGTATAAAGCGAAGCAAATTTGGATTTAAAATCGAGTTTTAAAATGATAGGTGTATCCTTGATTTATGCATATGGAATTATGTGCATTATGCGAAATCTGTGTCATTATCATACAACAATATTTACTTAAAGTGCCAGCACAATGCATTTGTAGGTACCTAAACTTGTCAGTATTGGAACTTTCGCGCTGCAGTCAAGTGCATCAGATGTATCGGATGATTCCATGGTCATTATTTTGCTGTGAAATGCGAAAAGTAGATGTAAGTTTATAAAATATACGAGCTAGAAACGACGTTTCTCAATATATTTTCAAACTAACAATAACATTCACAGTTAATGTCTTATCACCTTTTAACCTTTCCTATGTAGCGAAGCTATTATTAGAATGGTATATATATGTACGTATTAGACATTAAAATCTTTTTCAATTTAATTACCACCAACATCAGAACTCTTCTGTTAAATCGACAGAATAATTGTTGTCTAGCTGTTTTAGTGATATATACTCTTAAGACTTAATAACAGCGATTTTCGCTATTTAATTTAATAACGATGACATACACTGGTATTTTGGACTGGCCAGGTCTCCCTGCCTTAGATTATAATGCGTCTCGTCTCACAGACATGGCCTGGTGCTAGATATGTTATGTCAAAATTAAGTATAGGACACTCATATTCTGTCGAATCATACTAACCACCGACGTTTTCCTTCCTTTTTAATGGAAAATTTGTTTCAAAATATGATTATATATTAATCTAATATAGACTTGTACACATTCTGGCAGGTCACTTGTCCTTATAGCGGAAAACGGCGATTTGTTCCTGTAATTCAAAACCCGTAATTACACAGGTAAAATACTTATTTCTACAGGTAAACAACATGCAAACTTCTCATCTATTAACATGCGTTGTCAAAGAAGTTATACACAGCAGTTCCCGTTGTACCTCGTATTTTAGTTGTTGGAGGCCGTTATAGCAGACTCCCTGAAGTTAATGCGGCGTTAAAATGCTTAGTATTTGCTTTGATTCTCTGATGTGTGCATAGAAACTAAATAAATAATGATGAAATCAATATTTTCCGAAGTGTCTTGAAAAATAAATCAGTTTGAAACTAACACGTTTGTTTAGAAATTACTACACTAATGGTGCTGAATACGTGAATAAATGACAGGTCTTCGCCATAAGATTCGGTAATTTAGAGATAAGTGTGTGTGTATCAAAGTTTTAGTATATACCTATATGTTGTTTGTAAAAATGGCCATTAATTAAAATTCGAATTCAAAGATGGTCTATATAAATGAGGACGACAGGTATATATCAACTGTGATGCTACTAAGTTATAAAGTTAAATTATTCATTAAACGTAAATACCACTAGCATTATCATCTGTTTGTGCTCTGCGTCGATCAACTTCCCCCGCAAAAGAGATAATTTTTATGATATACTATTGTAGCAGTCAAAACGTCCATGAAACCGTCGCTATGACTAGCTGATTCTCTACGGGGCGCTACAGGTAACACTGTAGCAGATTTACCTCAGTAACACTTCTACCTGATCATATTAAGTTAAAAGAAAGAAAAAAATACAGGATAGTTACACATGAGCTGGTTCTGAATGGAATTATGTATGCTGGTACTACACACATACATGGAGGCTAGCTTATTGACGGCTACCACAAGATATAAACAGATACCCCAGTGATGACGAGGGTAAGTAAAATGTAAACACTTATCTGAGAAACACACATACAGAACACATATAGACATAGGGCCGAAACACTTCAGGCGGCATAACACCGTCAGGGAGATGACGAAAATGGAGGTTCATGTACGAAAATACCATTGACCAAAACATGTTATTGCGTGCGAACTGTGTAGACGTTTTACTCCGTGGTATGTTTCTCCTTTACATAGAGTAACGTAAGAGTGGTAACCGGAGATCATATCGCCCTCACATCTATCACGCTGAACTGGATTCTAACTAAACATTCTCTCTGTGTATTGTGGGTTACTGTTAAATATCATACTCTTAAAAAATGTGGAAGTTTTATCGCCATTTTGTCGTTAACAATTGAGTCAACAATACTATAAACATACAGAGCTTCATTGATGTGTGGGCCGGGCTTGTTTTTAAGAAAATTACACTCAATAACGATTGGCTGAGCGAGGAAATTGAAGTCTTTGAGCCGCAATCATTAAACCAATTCAATGTTTATTTACAACAGGGTAAGTTCACATGTATGTGTTTGATCCATGCAGTTTATACTGAAATGACTTTTTTACACGTTTGTTAAGAAATTGCGTATTACCAGGGTACAAGAACAGTATTGTTAGGCTATGACTAGCTGACACCTGGCAATGGGTCAAGTTTCTGGACTCCGATATATTTGTTTGTTTACCTATCCGATTTCATTTTACTTTCAGGTTCTGGGCAGCGAACACCGTCCATCGATCTTAAGGCGCTGTCGCTGGCGGGAACGGCAAACACGGAAACAAGATGGAGGACCCCGTCAACACCTCGAGTCTTGAGTACATGACCAACAACTACGCCGGAAACGGAAGTATGAAGCTATCGATGGAAACCGCATGTGGGCCCGGAAACGGGAATGGGAGCACGCCATGTAAAGAGGAGGGCATGGGCATCAATTTATCAACCCCCATCCTCATGTTGTCTTCTGGACTGATGGGCAACACATTAGCCCTTGTTGTACTTTATACAATGAAAAAGGAAACTAAACAGACTGTATTTTTTACACTCTTGGCCGGACTGGCCTGGACTGACCTGATTGGTCAACTGATGACCGGTCCGATAGCAATCATTGTGTATGCGAACAATTTGCAATGGGTAGGCGGAGAGGCGACCTGCATGTACCACGCCTTTTCCATGATATGTTTTGGCTTTCTGACACCCGTCCTTGTGTGTGCCATGTCGTTGGACAGATTAATAGCTCTCAAATTCACATTCTTCTATGCGAGAAATTTTACGCGAAAAAAGGCCCAGATATTGGTTGTGGTGTGTTGGATAATTGTATTATTTGTATGTTCGTGGCCGCTCATGGGATTCGGAAGTTACGAAAAACAATACCCCGGAAGTTGGTGCTTCCTAAATTTCCATAAAGAGAGCAAAACTGACGTCGCCTTTGCGACAACCTATTCTGTGATAAATCTCCTTCTCATCGTCATTAATTTCCTCTGTAATATCGTCGTCATATCAACAGTAATAAATATGAGGAAGAAAAGGATTATTCAAAATTCGCCATCGATAGACAGAAAACGGCGACCACATCGTTCCAAGTCACAGAAACGACTGCAGTCAGAGACACAAATGGTGGTATTTATGTGTACCATCACGTTCGTGTTTAGTGTCTGCTACATACCATTCAACGTAAGTACTAACTATATACATTCAACGTAAATCATTCCAAAATAACTTTTTTTGTAAGTACTAACTACATACCATTCAACGTAAATAATTCCAAAAAAACGTTTTTGTAACAACATACCATTCAACGTAAATAAATCCAAAATATCTTTTTTTGTAAGTACTAACTACATACCATTCAACGTAAATACTTCCAAAATAACGTTTTTGTAAGTACTAGCTACATACCATTCAACGTAAATAATTCCAAAATATCTTTTTTTGTAAGTACTAACTACATACCATTCAATGCAAATACTTCTAAAATATCGTCTTTTGTAATTACTAACTAACCACATGCCATCAACGTAAATGATTCCAAAATATCGTTTTTTTTGTAAGTACTAACTACAAACCATTCAATACAAATACTTCCAAAATATAGTTTTTTTGTAAGTACTAACTACAAACCATTCAATACAAATACTTCTAAAATACCGTTTTTTTGTAAGAACTAACTACATACCATTCAATACAAATACTTCAAAATATCGTTTTTTTGTAAGTACTAACAACATACCATTCACTACAAATACTTCCAAAATATCGTTTTTTGTAATTACTAACTAACCACATGCCATCAACGTAAATGATTCCAAAATATCGTTTTTTTTGTAAGTACTAACTACAAACCATTCAATACAAATACTTCCAAAATATCGTTTTTAGGTCACCTGAGACAAAGTCTCAAGTGACCTATTGCGATCGCCTTTTGTCCGTCGTCGTCCGTCGTTCGTCGTCCGTCGTCCGTCCGTAAACAATTTACATTTTCGACTTCTTCTCCAAAACCCCTGAACCAATTTCAATGAAATTTTGCAGGGACCTTCCATGGACAAAGGTCAACAAAAAATGTTGCCGGTTTAGTCCTACGCCCCCAGGGGCCTGAAGGGCGGGGCCAAAAGGGGTCAAATTGACTAAAATTTCAAAAATCTTCTTCTCCAAAACCCCTGAACCAATTGCAATGAATTTTTGCAGGGACCTTCCATGGACAAAGGTCAACAAAAAATGTTGCCGGTTTAGTCCTACGCCCCCAGGGGCCTGAGGGGCGAGGCTAAAAAGGGTCGAATTGAATAAAATTTCAAAAATCTTCGTCTCAAGACCCAGATATGGTAGAATCAAATACTCTTCATAGATGGAAGGGTCTTAAGGTGCTTTACTGAAATTGTGAATTTCTTGACCCTGGGGTCTCACGTTTCCCCCTGGGGAGGGGGTAAACTTTACTATAGTTTATATAGGGAAATCACATTTTGGACCAACATTTGTTTAATTTCCATTGGAAGTAATTCAATTTGGGTTAGCATTATCAGTATTAGGTAGCAGTTTGATAGTATGCACCTATGAGCCCTGACTGACCCCCAGGGGCTGATGGGTGGGGCCAAAAAGGGTTGAATTGACTGAAATTTCAAAAATCTTCTTCTCAAGACCCAGATATGGTAGAATCAAATACTCTTCATAGATGGAAAAAGGTCCTAAGGTTTATGACCCTAGGGTCTCACATTTTCCCCATGGAGAAGGGGTGGGGGGTGGGGGGCAAAATTTATTATGGTTTATAATGGCAAATGATACTTTGAATATTACATGTTAATAACTTGATTGGAATTATAACCTTGAGTTGACAGTTTGATACTTTGAAAATTTTGAGCCAGCCCTACCCCCAAGGGCTGTAGGGTGGGGCTCAAGGGAGTCAGTGTGCTAAAATTTCTTCATTTTCCTTGTTTAGAATCAGAGGTGCTAGTTTCAAATCCTTTTTAGTCTGAAATCTGTATGCTTGATATTGAATAAGGTGGTTTTATTGTTTTTTGTCACTTTGAATAATATTTCTGTTCATGTTAAAAACGAAATCAACTCTCTGTATAAATATATCAGGTGACAGTTAAGGCCCATGGACCTCTTGTTTGTAAGTACTAACTACAAACCATTCAAAACAAACACTTCTAAAATATCGTTTTTTTGTAAGTACTAACTACAAACCATTCAATACAAATACTTCTAAAATATCGTTTTTTTGTAAGAACTAACTACATACCATTCAATACAAATACTTCAAAATATCGTTTTTTTGTAAGTACTAACAACATACCATTCAATACAAATACTTCCAAAATATCGTGTTTTTTGTAAGTACTAACTACATACCATTCAACGTAATAACCTAAATATATCACTCAAAACAATTACTCCAAACATACCATTCAACGTAACTAATCTACATAACATTCAATGAAACTATCCCTTTCATACAATTCAACGTAACTATCCCCTACATACCATTCAATGTAACTATCCCCTACATACAATTCAACGTAATTAGCCCCTACATACAATTCAACGTAACTATCCCCTACATATAATTCAACGGAACTATCCCCTACATACAATTCAACGTAATTATCCCCTACATAACATTCAATATAACTATCCCCGACATACCATTCAACGTAATTATCCCCTACATATAATTCAACGTAACTATCCCCTACATACAATTCAACGTTACTATCCCCTACATACCATTCAATATAACTATCCCCTACATTCCATTCAACGTAACTATCCCCTACATAACATTCAATATAACTATCCCCGACATACCATTCAACGTAATTATCCCCTACATATAATTCAACGTAACTATCCCCTACATAACATTCAACGTTACTATCCCCTACATACCATTCAACATAACTATCCCCTACATACCATTCAACGTAACTAATCTACATAACATTCAATGAAACTATCCCTTTCATACAATTCAACGTAACTATCCCCTACATCCCATTCAATGTAACTATCCCCTACATAACATACAATATAACTATCCCCTACATACCATTCAATGTAACTAACCCCTACATAACATTCAATATAACTATCCCCGACATACCATTCAACGTAATTATCCCCTACATAACATTCAATATAACTATCCCCTACATACAATTCAATATAACTATCCCCTACATACCATTTAACGTAACTATCCCCTACATACCATTCAACGTTACTATCCCCTACATAACATTCAATATAACTATCCCCGACATACCATTCAACGTAATTATCCCCTACATAACATTCAATATAACTATCCCCTCCATACCATTCAATATAACTATCCCCTACATACCATTCAACGTTACTATCCCCTACATACCATTCAATATAACTATCCCCTACAGACCATTCAACGTAATTATCCCCTACATAACATTCAATATAACTATCCCCGACATACCATTCAACGTAATTATCCCCTACATATAATTCAACGTAACTATCCCCTACATAACATTCAACGTTACTATCCCCTACATACCATTCAACGTAATTATCCCCTACAAAACATTCAATATAACTATCCCCTACATACCATTTAACGTAACTATCCCCTACATACCATTCAACGTTACTATCCCCTACATAACATTCAATATAACTATCCCCGACATACCATTCAACGTAATTATCCCCTACATAACATTCAATATAACTATCCCCGACATACCATTCAACGTAATTATCCCCTACATATAATTCAACGTAACTATCCCCTACATAACATTCAACGTTACTATCCCCTACATACCATTCAACGTAATTATCCCGTACATACCATTCAACGTTACTATCCCCTACATACCATTCAATATAACTATCCCCTACATTCCATTCAACGTAACTATCCCCTACATAACATTCAACGTTACTATCCCCTACATACCATTCAATATAACTATCCCCTACATACAATTCAATATAACTATCCCCTACATACCATTCAACGTTACTATCCCCTACATAACATTCAACGTAACTATCCCCTACATACCATTCAACTATCCCCTACATACCATTCAACGTAATTATCCCCTACATAACATTCAATATAACTATCCCCGACATACCATTCAACGTAATTATCCCCTACATATAATTCAACGTAACTATCCCCTACATAACATTCAATGAAACTATCCCTTTCATACAATTCAACGTAACTATCCCCTACATCCCATTCAATGTAACTATCCCCTACATACCATTCAACGTAACTATCCCCTACATATAATTCAACGTAACTATCCCCTACATACAATTCAACGTAATTATCCCCTACATACAATTCAACGTAACTATCCCCTACATACCATTCAACGTAACTATCCCCTTCATACATTTCAACGTAACTATCCCCTACTTACATTTCAACGTAACTATCCCCTTCATACATTTCAACGTAACTATCCCCTACATAACATTCAACGTAACTATCCCCTACATACAATTCAACGTAACTATCCCCTACATATAATTCAACGTAACTAACCCCTTTATACCATTCAACGTAACTATCCCCTACATACATTTCAACGTAACTATCCCCTACATACAATTCAACGTAACTATCCCC